GAGCCCTTCTTAGATCCGCCTTTGACGTTCGATACACGGGAGAGGAGCATGACCCAACTGTATGGGCTCTGGAAGACTCGGACAGATGACGGAATCATGGAAAGAGAAGGTTTCGGGTTCCTGGGTGGCAGAGTTCTTCGGCGGTCGGCGATGAGGTGGTCGATGGAGATGGACATACGAATGTATTGATTTAAATCCTGAAGGTCACCTCTACAGGCCAGCTCCGCCTGAAGTTCCCTGTTCAGCCCTCATCGGTAGACGGTAAGTAAAGCAGCCTCACTCCATCCACTCCCTGCAGCCATGGTGCAGAACTCGAGGGCATACTCGGCAGCTGAATTGCGTCCTTCTTGAAGGTCTATGAGGAGGTCCCCTACAGGACGACCAGAAAGAGAGTGATCGAATACCTATTTGAAGAGGGTGTGGAAATGGGTCTCGGATCCGAGTTCTGTGCTGTTGGCAGTCCATATGGCAGTGGCCCAATCCAGGGCTTTGCCTGTGAGTAGAGACACAACAATATCCCCCCTGCTCTTGTCGGTGGCGAAGTTAGTGGTAGGTAGGCAAACAGGCAGGTGAAACAAAACTAGGACTGAAGGCTAAAACTGGTTCTCACAAACGAGCTAGGAAAAGGCTTAGTAGAATCAAAACGAACAATACCTCACAAGGCACAAACAGAAAGAACTGAACTAAATATGGAGCTGATGAGACCAGGTGAGTAACTAACACAGGTGAAATCAATGAACAAAAATGAAAGACAGGGCTACATTCATGAACATAAAGAAACAGGGCTACGTTCTAGAACACAAGGTGAACTAAGAAAATAAATACAGAACCTTACACAGGCGTGAGACCTATGTGCCAGATGTCTACAATGATCAGCCTTTCCTACAAAGGATCGGAATGCATCCACGGTCACAAAAGTGTTTTGGGAGAAGTACTTCATCCATTATGGCCTGCCCCGAAGAATGCATAGTGATCATGGAAGAGATTTATAAAGTTGCCTTATACATGAGATGTTGAATATGCTTGGAGTCGAGAAGTCAAGGACAATGCCGTACCATCCTCAAGGAGATCCGCAGACTGAGAGATTTAATAGAACGTTGTTGAACGTGCTTGGAACACTGGATCCAAAGAGATAGGGCAAGTGGAGTCAGCACATCGGACATCTTGTACATTTATACAAATGCACTTAGACCGAAGCAACCGGATATTCTCCGTACTTTCTCATGTTTGGCTGTGAAGCAAGGTTACCTGTAGATCTATTTTTCAGAGTCTCAAGTGATGGTGCATCAGAGAAGACTTATTTGAAGTATATGTGTCTAACATGAGGAAAGAGTTGCAAGCTGCCTACAAACATGCAGAGACCACTTCTGACAAACAGAGCAAAGAAAAAAAACTAAGATATTATCAGAAGGTTCGCTATTCCCATCTTATGCCTGGAGTCCTGATACAGAACTTAGGGCTGAAAGGAATGCAAAAGTTGGCAGATAACTGGGCCTCTACGGCATATGTTGTAGAAAGTAAAATGCCAAACTTACCTGTGTTCCGTTTGAAGTCCGAGAATGGAGATGGACCCATCATAATCCTAGAATCTGTGGCTGACGTTGAACCAACACCTAGTCGGAGAAGCCTGCAAAGAAGGAGGAAGAAAAAAAAGAAGAAAAGTGAAATGGACTTGAACAAGCCTGAAAGCTGCCCTTCAAGAGAAGAAGAAAGACCTGAAAAGGATGTGAAGAGTCCAGAAAAATCTGAAGATTTTGAAGATGTCGGTTCAGAAAATGAAGACATTGGGATGTGTTATGAACTACCTGACAAAAACTTTCAAGACAGAGAAGATGAAGAAATGTCCGAACCTTACAGTTTGGACTTGGACATTACATGGAATTTAATGACTGGAAAACATGAGGTGAGAGCAGGAGAGGAACATGAAACAGAGTCCATTGATGAAATAAATGAAGCTGAAGAAGTAGCAGAAACTAAGCTGAGGAAGCTAATGGAGCAAATGAAAATGAAACAAATGAGGTTGAGGAATTTGACCCAGTTGAAGACAACCCAGAAGAAAGGGAGGAAGCAGAAACAGAGATAGGAAGATCTCAAAGAATCAAGAAAGCTCCTACTCTACTGCCCTGTGACACACCTGGAGTTCCTTGTGTGGTGTCTGTTCCTATAGTGAGATATATCTCCTATTTTTTTAAGTGGATTGTGTAATACTACAGTGAGGGAAAAAAGTATTTGATCCCCTGCTGATTTTGTACATTTGCCCACTGACAAATAAATGATCAGTCTATCATTTTAATGGTAGGTTTATTTGAACAGTGAGAGACAGAATAACAACAAAATAATCCAGAAAAACGCATGTCAAAAATGTTATAAATTGATTTGCATTTTAATGAGGGAAATAAGTATTTGACCCCCTCTCAATCAGAAAGATTTCTGGCTCCCAGTTGTCTTTTATACAGGTAACGAGCTGAGATTAGGAGCACACTCTTAAAGGAGTGCTCCTAATCTCAGTTTGTTACCTGTATAAAAGACACCTGTCCACAGAAGCAATCAATCAATCATATTCCAAACTCTCCACCATGGCCAAGACCAAAGAGCTCTCCAAGGATGTCAGGGACAAGATTGTAGAACTACACAAGGCTGGAATGGGCTACAAGACCATCGCCAACAGCTTGGTGAGAAGGTGACAACAGTTGGTGCGATTATTCGCAAATGGAAAAACTCAAAAGAACAGTCAATCTCCCTCGGCCTGGGGCTCCATGCAAGTTCTCACCTCGCGGAGTTGCAATGATCATGTGAACGGTGAGGAATCAGCCCAGACTACACGGGAGGATATTGTCAATGATCTCAAAGCAGCTGGGACCATAGTCACCAAGAAAACAATTGGTAACACCCTACGCCGTGAAGGACTGAAATCCTGCAGTGCCCGCAAGGTCCCCCTGCTCAAGAAAGCACATATACAGGCCCGTCTGAAGTTTGCCAATGAACATCTGAATGATTCAGAGGAGAACTGGGTGAAGGTGTTGTGGTCAGATGAGACCAAAATCGAGCTCTTTGGCATCAACTCAACTCGCCATGTTTGGAGGAGGAGGAATGCTGCCTATGACCCCAAGAACACCATTCCCACTGTCAAACATGGAGGTGGAAACATTATGCTTTGGGGGTGTTTTTCTGCTAAGGGGACAGGGCAACTTCACCGCATCAAAGGGACGATGGACGGGGCCATGTACCGTCAAATCTTGGGTGAGAACCTCCTTCCCTCAGCCAGGGCATTGAAAATGGGTCGTGGATGGGTATTCCAGCATGACAATGACCCAAAACACACGGCCAAGGCAACAAAGGAGTGGCTCAAGAAGAAGCACATTAAGGTCCTGGAGTGGCCTAGCCAGTCTACAGACCTTAATCCCATAGAAAATCTGTGGAGGGAGCTGAAGGTTCGAGTTGCCAAACGTCAGCCTCAAAACCTTAATGACTTGGAGAAGATCTGCAAAGAGGAGTGGGACAAAATCCCTCCTGAGATGTGTGCAAACCTGGTGGCCAACTACAAGAAACGTCTGACCTCTGTGATTGCCAACAAGGGTTTTGCCACCAAGTATTAAGTCATGTTTTGCAGAGGGGTCAAATACTTATTTCCCTCATTAAAATGCAAATCAATTTATAACATTTTTGACATGCGTTTTTCTGGATTTTTTTGTTGTTATTCTGTCTCTCACTGTTCAAATAAACCTACCATTAAACTTATAGACTGATCATGTCTTTGTCAGTGGGCAAACGTACAAAATCAGCAGGGGATCAAATACTTTTTTTCCCTCAATGTATGTACACGTATCCCTTATTCCTTTTGAGTTACACAAGGGTTGACACATTTCCTGTGTTTGTACATACGCATGTTTTTTTTTTCTCCCTGGTTTACCTATTTTGGTAGAGGGAGAGTGTAATATCCTGTTAACACATGTATTAGAATCACTCAGTGGTGTAAAGTACTTAAGTAAAAATACTTTAAAGTACTACTTCGTTTTTTAGGTATCTGTACTTTACTTAACTATTTAACTTTTACTCCACTACATTCCTAAAAAAAATAATGTACTTTTTACTCCATACATTTTCCCTGACACCAGAAAGTACTCGTTACATTTAGAATGCAAAGCAGGACAGTAAAATTGAAAAATGCACACACTTATCAAGAGAACATCCCTGGTCATCCCTATTGCCTCTGATCTGGCGGACTCACTAAACAGTAATGCTTCATTTGTAAATTATGTCTGAGAGTTGGCATGAGCCCCTGGCTATCCTAAAATAAATAAAAAACAAGAAATCATGCTGTCTGGTTTCCTTAATATAAGGCAATGTGAAATTATTTATACTTTTACTTTTGATACTTAAGTATATTGAAACCAAATACTTTCAGTCTCAAAATAGTCAATAAATATTTTACTGGGTGACTTTCACTTGAGTCATTTTCTATTAAGGTAACTTCACTCTTTAATCTGTAATTCCTGAAGTGATCAGGACAGAGGGAGAATCTGTGACTCTGAGTTGCATAAATATAATACAAGCAGCAGTAATATTTAGCTTTACTGGTACCGGCATTATTCTAACCAAGCTCCTCGGTTTCTACTGTATAAAAAGGTGACAGATAATTTATCATATTCTTCACTCTTCAATCAGTAGTCTTCAATTCCATTTAGACATGTTTATATCAGTTGGAAAAGCACATGGTAATATGACAAAGTGCAACAATGTTATTGTTTTCAGTTGGTCCAATTCACACTTTTCTGTGGTGTAGTATGAAATCCACCTGAAGGGGGCAACCTAATAAAGCACACACACCCTTGAATCAGAGGATGCCATACAGACAGACACCTCCCCATAGTCTACTACTGCATGTAATACAGAACAACATGAAGCATCAACAGTAGGACAGAGGGTGTCAAAGCTCTGTGATAGATAGATCAGCATTGTTCTGCTCCTTACCTTTTACACTTCAAACTGACTGAATAGTCATGAGAAACTGGCTGATCCTGCATGTTCTGGCTGCATGCTGCTTTGGTATAACATCACTCTGTTCATCTGTCTCTTTCTGTGCATTTGTTCATTTTATTTAGATACATATTTATTACAGTATGTAGCTCCTATAATTTGTTTAATTTGTTTTATTCTTTTTTTCTCACAGAACTGATAGCTGGGGATGACATTACTTCTTCAAGCCATGAAGTCATGAAGCCAGAGGGAGAATCTGTGACTCTGAGCTGTTCATATGATACAAGCCAAACCGAACCTTGGCTTTACTGGTACAGGCATTACCCTAACCAGGCTCCTCAGTTTCTACTGTATAAAGGTGCCAGATCAAGTACCTCGGAACATATCCCTGATAAGAGATATACATCCAAAACGTCCTATTCATCAACTGAACTGATCATACAACATCTAACCCTGGCAGACACAGCTCTCTACTACTGTGCTCTTGACTCAACACAGTGATACAAAGTATATAAGACACTGTACAAAAACTTGCAGACCAAAAATGCTTTGTTGCTGTGTGGAGCATAATTAAACATCAACCACAATTTGATATCATATGGCAGAGGTTTAGATCAGAGAAGTGTGGTCACACCTGTGCTGTGTGCAAACACCAGGCGATATAGCGTTTCTCTGTCTTCCTATTCAATGCTCTTTGAGAAATACTTATTCTTCACTCTAGTTGGTAGAGTTTGGTATGAGGGTCTTGACTTGGATTGTAGTCGGGGAGGCCAGCCCTCGGTCGTGGACCGAGGTTGATAGCTGGCCTCCCAGCAGGATCAGCTCCCTGTCGTGGACTGAGGTTGATAGCTGGCTTCCCAGCTGGATCAGCCTCCAGTCTTGGACCGAGGTTGATAGCTGGTGTCGTATCGGGTGAATGGTGGCATATTATTGCTGTCAACAAAGAGTCCGTTCAAGCTGCACCGTGTTAGAGGCTTTTATTAAAATCACGAGGTTACAGCATAAGTACAGACCCGCGGTGTCCGGAGAACGGCTCCTCAGATTGCCATGGCCGTTCTGCCCTTTCTGTAGTCTAGCCCCTATTTATAAACAATGATGCTCCCTCTTCTGGCCAATCACCAGTCTCCCCTGTCTACAACACACTTCCTGTCTGTTGTACGTGACGTTACACTAAAACATATACTAACATAAACAACATTCCATTTCTTCATGAAAAACATTTAACAAAGACATAATCTTCATATACGATATTCCCCCCTTCGAGACGAACAGTCTCGAAAACAAACAGAATAGGATTATGACCAGTAACAATTTATCTTATTGAGTAGGTTTAACATTAAACCAAAAACATTCTCCTCTAGAGTGTAAATACCTTTCTATGAAATATGAATAACTGTTTATGAAGTGTGAATACATTACTATCTTTATGAAGTGTGAATACATTACTATGAAATATGAACAAATCTCTATGGAGTGTAAGAGCGAAAAACTGTCCGGCAACCTTCCATCCATCAATCAAGACAGTAAAATTCTCTCACGGTCCCTCTGCCCCAGGCAACCACCTTCGGTACTCCAGATAACCTCATAAACCATGTAAATGCATTTGAAAGTATGATGCAATTAAATACACATGTAAGCCCCTGCAAACAAAATCCTATCCAAAAACATCCATTGCAAGGCTGGTCAACCCATTGGACCTTACAGTGAACCTCTCCCTGCCTAGCCTCTCTCTGTCCCTAATCATTCACGAAATAAACAAAAACATCTAAGATCCTCACATGTATCCAATAACATCAAATATCCTTCTACAAAAATTAATCCCTAAGGCTATGACACAAATTATGTATTACACATGTCTATATTTCATTGCAGACACTGGAATGTAGTCCACTACACTTCATCTCCCCGTAGTCTCGACTTCCAATGGATTGTTGATGATGGAATCAGCCACACCCTCCTTGTTTCATCTCCTCCAGTCATTGTCGTTTCATATTGTCCCTTCATATTGTCCTTGTTTGAGTCACATGTTCCCCCAAATGCTTCTGGAAGAAAAGAAAAGAAACGACCAAACAGTATCTTTTGCAAAACAACCCTTTCAAATTAAACATCAATATCCACTAAGAATATAAAAATGATATATAAATGATGCATGAATCACATAAACCCATTCCCCCCTTTGATTCATAAATCATACTAAAAATCACACTAATATTGGAAAAAAATTGAAAAATGATCAAAACATAAAAATGATATTTATCCATTCAGTTCTACTTGTCCATCTTTATCCAGATCAGGAACAGTCAACACCGGCATCTGAGTGTTGTCTCCAGGCATCACTCTCCAACCTATCTCAATATTATAGCTTTCTCAAAGGTCAGTAACAAATTACAAACATCACACAGTGTTATCAAAGCTGCCATTAAATGTAACCCATCACTGCCCCTACTGGCCTACCTGATTCTGCAACCAAATCTTCTCAGATCTCCCAAACACATCCCTTATATTCTTCAATGCATATATAACCATCTGAACTATCTGGACTCAAAGTATACCTAATATTATCCATATGATCTTCCCAAATGTTATACCATACCATGGAAAAAGTCCCCCCTTCTCCCTTAGATTTATACTTCAATGATAGGCTTGAAGACTATGACATGTAACCATGTCTCTTTTCATCCAATTTCAAATATAGCTTCAGATTTCTGTCCAGTGCTACCCCTCTTATAATGGTAAAAACCTCATATGGAAGCTTCAACGTTGATGTGTAACAACATCCTGTCTATCCATAGGGTAAGAATATATATACTTTATCACCACAAACCCTCCAAATATCTCTAAAATTCCCCATAGTCACATTGTCAGGCAAAAGCTAATCTTTTAACCATCAAAGTCCTGCTGTTTTTACTACCTGGTACATAAAAAGTAACATATTTCTCATTACTACCCTTAAGGTCATACATACCCAAAGTTATCATATAACATCACAATCTGATATTCCCATAAACATACCCCTTACCTCATATGTTTTATTAGAACCAAACAACTTTTAGCCCTCAATGGTTACACCTCAAATGCTTCAGTTTTTGCTGTTACCTGATTTTACTTTCCATCTAACAAATGCACCCACGTTAATTCACTTAACCCAATACCACCTAACCCTAGGCTTAAACAAATGTTTTGACAACGACATTATTTTATCTGTTACTGACTGTTGCTGCTGATACCACAGTCATGACAACGCACAAGATTGACACATACTTGATAGAGGTCGAACGACCGTCTCTAAAATGTTTGTTGGTGGAATTCTCACCAGACATGGACCCTCAAGATTCCTCACTGATCTTACAGAATGAGTTAACCGCTGGAACCAAAGATTCCTACCTGCCATCTATCTCTAACTTTCACAACAGAAGAATCAAACCACTCCCTTTAGTTTCTCTCTTCCCTAACGAGCGGTACTGATCAGATACCTCTCCTTGTCTGTCATTAAAATCAAAGACCTCATTCTGTCCTCCATGATAGTATCACTCTTCTCTCTACTACTATCTGTTCTCCTATTTTAACCCTATTCGTCTTGCTACCCCCTTTAATTTCAGAACAGTTGTTGTCGGTGTCATACTTCCTACATTTGCTTATTGCCATCGTATTATTAATCCCTTCCAAAGTTACCATTAAAGTAGTTGATGTATTACCCTTAATTACTTCTAGTGGCAAAGCTACCGATATCCTATGTGTATTATTCACTGTTGGAGTGGCTACTGTAACCTACTCTTCCTGAACCTCCTTGGTGACTGTGAAACTTCAACAGATTTCAAATCTTCCATCATAAGCGTTACTTTATGAATTACATAGCCTTTTAACCAATAATTCTTAACCGGAACAAATTATAATGCTTGCACTAGATAAGTATACTTCTTCTCCATAATTATCTCTCCATGTGGGAGGAACGTCCCCATCCTAACCCTAATAAGTATTTTTCCCCTAAAATTGGTGCTGTATTGGTTCCCTTATAACCAAATGCGATATATTTATGGCTTTAATAACTATCAATGTTGAAAGAGTTAAATTGCTTCTCACTGTTGTTATAATAGACTGAAGTGTTAATCTCCTTAGTTACTTCTAGTTTTCCCCAAAGAAAAGTTGTCTTTGCTTGTACTTCCATCTATCACCACTAGTGTCACTTTTTCCCCACTCTCAGTCCTTTCTCTAATCCCTGACTTTCAAACTTTTGATTATAAAAAATACACCTATAATTACCTTGATCTTCCTACTCTAAAATGTCCTTCACCATTGTTCTCTCTCTCTTACTACTAACTTTGAAACTTAGCTTACTGTCTTAGAGTTCCTTCAACCTAGTCCTCCTAACTTATTTTAATCTAATCTTTTCCCCCATAACCTTTAAAAACATTTTCCACTGATTTATTCACAAAATCCCTTTACCACCAAATTTGAGAATATGTGATTGGAAAAGTCCCCACCTGTTTTTGACTTCTTTACACACAGACTTGGCAAACGACTAAACACCTTTTAGCCTAGCCTGAAATCTCTTGTGTGTAAGAATGTAACCCAGAATAAACAATGCATCTCTTTCCAATACTGCAATAACAGTATCTTCTAATATTAGTATCTTAAGAGTAATTAACTGTTTACTACCTCAAATCCCTATCCTAATTAGTTAATTTTACATAGTGAGATGTTTAACCTCTTTAGGCTGAACCCAGATAAGTTTTTCCACTATTCACCATCACTTCTCATAGTCGGTTGTTTTTACTTCAATTGTTGGATATTTTGTCTTCTTCTCTAATCGATGCTCTCAACTGGCACCCCCCTTCCGGATCTTCTAGGCACTCTAGAATCTTTAGGGTTCACCTGGAGAACAGGTGATCTTGAATTGCCCCTGTATCTTCCTTAAAAATGTTCTCTGTTTTTCCTCCTGACTTGTTGCACTTACAGGTAAAGTACCCAATCTGTCCACAATTATAACAGTCTTCTGAAAGTTGCTGGAAGTGTAGCTGAAATCTTCCTCCTCCTTCTAAGCCTTCTCGTCCTCTTCCTCTCCAATTCTGTGTCTGTCCAGAAACTGGCTGTGGATATGGAACATCTGGTACCCCCCTTGGCTGGTACAATTGCGTTTGATCTTGCTCAGTTGAAGCTGTAACAGTGATTGTTGATTTGGTTCAAAGACATAATCTTCATATACGATACTGGCCCCCCGGCCGGATCAGCACCCAGTCGTGAACAGAGGTTGATAGCTGGCCTCCCGGGCGGGATCAGCACCCAGTCCTGGACCGGTGTTCAGCTGGCCCGCCGTGATATGTTTGATACCGGAGCTCCGAGGAGTTCGCCAAAATTGCTAAGCACTGTACTTCAAAGCAGTGTGTCGATGCCTGTATAACTTTATCAGAAGCACATGATGCATTTCATCCACAGCACTTGAGAATATGACAAAGTTCAACAATGTTATTGTCTGTAGGTGGCCCTATTCACAATTCAAACTGCTTGGTGGTGTAGTATGAAAGTCAACCTGAAGGGGGCAACCTAACAAAGCACACACACCTGAATCAGAGGATGCCATACAGACAGACACCTCCCCATGGTCTACCACTGCATGTAATACAGAACAACATGAAGCATCAACAGTAGGACAGAGGGTGTCAAAGCTCTGTGATAGATAGATCAGCATTGTTCTGCTCCTTACCTTTTACACTTCAAACTGACTGACTAGTCATGAGAAACTGGCTGATCCTGTATGTTCTGGCTGCATGCTGCTTTGGTATAACATCACTCTGTTTATCTGTCTCTTTCTGTGCATTTGTTCATTTTAGTTATATACATTATTATTATTATTATTATTATTAGTTGTGAATATATATTTGTCTTTATTTTCAGGGTGCAGAGCAGAAGAGAATGTAACACAGCCAACAGAAGATGTAATGGTCTTAGAAGGACAACCAACAACACTCACTTATCTATTCGATACAACTGATCAATCACCATATCTCTTTTGGTACAAACAACAAGCAAATAGCAACCCCATGTTTATGCTGAGAAGGGATACGTTTTTACCTGGAGACACGACTACTGAGTTCAAGGAAAGATTTCATGCCCGTCTGAATGTCACAGCAAAATCAGTCCCCTTGACGATCCAGAGGGTACAGATGTCTGACTCTGCTGTGTACTACTGTGCTCTGAAGCCCACTGTGACAACAGGATATACAGCCCCCTTACAAAAACACTGTGTGCACGTGGGTGTGTTCAGTACTTTGTGTTGTGTGCCATTTTTTAAGGGGAGGTGTTATAAAATTGAGGCAGAGGAAAGGAAATGTCTTTCATAGTTGACAGTGAGAAACCAGAGGAGTCATTCTGTCATAACTATACTTGTGTTCACTCTTTTCACTGCGTCAAATAACACTTACCAGCATGTTACTAAGATCAATTTCAATATTTGCACTAGTGGGTGAGTTTGATGCTATTCTTCATATCCAATCACATATCCAATGTAATTACTGGACCCTGGAGTAAAATTACTGTGAAGGATCTTTTGTCCATTTTTAATACACTTGACTGAAATTTTAGTTGAATTTTATGCTAATTTCCTGATAATAATTCCTGTTTGCATAAATGTTTTCCAGGTGGCAGTCATGGGAATGACATTACTCCAACAACAGATAAGGTGTTTGGGTTGGAGGGTGATGTCATCAATCTGTCCTGTAACTACTCCTCTGCTAGTAATCTCCAGTGGTATCGACAGGACCCTGGATCATCTCCCATCTTCCTCCTCCTCACTGGAGTCACATCAAACCCCTCTGTAGTGAACGGTACTCCACCATACCCACGACTGTCTGTTAAACTGAATAAGGAGAGAACCCGTGTGGATTTGGACATATCCTCTTCTGAAGTGACAGACTCTGCTCTGTAGTACTGCGCCCTGCAGCCCATAGTGACAGGAAACCCAGAAACACTGTACAAAAACCTGACAGCTCATGATAAACTCCTGTTATGCATATTTTAGGGCAGGGGTGGGGCTTCCTATTGTATGTTCAAGAAAATTAATTATCTTTTAAAAACTGTGTTGGACTTCACTCCAGCATATAACCTCAGCTACAATATGATGGTTCTCTACACAGTTATTTTACTTTCTGCTCTGACAGGTTAGTAAATGACTGTATTCCTGTCATTATTTTAACTAGATTGTTCAGGGTAATGTATAGTTAATCTGTATTATTGGATTTTAGAGTAAATACCAAGATCTTTCCTCATTTCAAATACATTGAGCTTGTGATTTATCCATCACCTCTTCACATTTTCATGTGTCAGTTTTCAGCAGACCATCCAGTCAAACCAACATGAAGTGTATGGAGAGGAGGGTAGTAATGTTCAGCTTTCCTGCAACTACTCCTCATTATACAGTGTACTGTGGTATAAACAGTATACAGGATCAGCTCCACAATTCCTCCTCTTCATCCACCATGCCTCTAGGACTGTAGTGAGAGCTAAACCTCCATACCCTCACCTCACTGATATACTGAACAAAGAGAAGACCCGTGTGGATCTGGAGATCTCCTCTGGTGAAGTGACAGACTCTGCTCTGTACTACTGTGCTGTCAAGCCCACAGTGACAGGAAACACAACTTGATCATACAAAAATCAGACAGCCTGACACACAGATGTGGGATGTAGACTTTCCATTCAGAATGAACTTCATCCTATAAACCCTGATAAAATATCATACAATTGATACGATATTGTTTATTTGCATATGGTGATATGGTGCAGCATGGTATAGTATTGTGGATCAATTGAAAAAACAGAAACAAACAAACAAAGGCATTCCCTAGACATTTCCAGTTAGAAATTAAGTGTAAAATAATCTGAGGAAGAGGCCAATAGGAACTGAAAACCCTTAACCACAAACCACAGAAGAAGAATTACATATCCAGTTATCAGAGGAGGGGCCTCATAGTCAAACACTGATATAGGCTGGGTATACTTGCAACCATGAGGATGTCTCTGTAGAGGATCTACTCAGCTCTCTCACTGTCTTATCTCTCAGTTGGTTTATCTAGTCTGTGTCAGGATGTCACTCATATTACTGTTTCTCCTCTCTGTGTTTGTAGGTGAGTTCTGAATTCTCAGCTTAAACCAAATAACATTTGTATTTGCCTGCGTTCAATTAACGATTCCATAAAATCTAAATGGTAGTAATACTCTAAAATTGTAATTGTTACTGTTATCATGTCTGGACGTTATATGGACATCTAATCCAGACCATTTAACATTTGGAATTAACATTTTGAATCCCAATACTTATGTTGTTGCAGCTGATAGTATGGAGCAGGAAACAATAACTCCATTGAAGCCTGAAGTCAATGTTCTCCAAGGAACAGACCTCACTCTCTCCTGCAACTACAAGGGAAACATTTACAATCTCCAATGGTACCGTCAATACCCCGGATCTAGACCAGAATGTCTTATTTTGATCCTACCAACCAACAAGCATGTACAGAATACATCCATTACGACTCCACGACACACTGGTAGACTGAATGAAGAGAAGACCCGTGTTGACTTGAAGATCTCCTCTGCTATATTGGAAGACTCTGCTCTGTACTACTGCGCCTTGCAGCCCACAGTGACAGGAAACCCAGACACACTGTACAAAAACCTGTCAAGAGCTTTGGGGATAAACAGTGCCTTGGTGGAGACACTGTATTCTGATAAATCAGTTATTATTTAGAGTAGATTATTACAAATATTTTCTCTGCATCTCCACATCAACTGAAAAATAAAATATAACTGGTCTTTTATTGAAATATATTCCCTTCTCCAGGAAATAATACTTTATATTGTATTCATGTTCTGTTGTGATATAACATGATCAGATATACTAGTCTGAATAAATACAGAATTAATAACATTTGTGTTGTTTTGCTTCCTTAGAGTATTAAGGGCAGTAATTGTCTTATTCTTCTCCATTGGTTTTTGTGAACAGCATACATTTTGAGACAATACCAATAGAGGGCAGTCATGGGCCGCATTATCTCTATTCAGAACTACAGCAAAATCATGAAGATGACATTAAGCAGCTATTCAACCTTGAAAGACAGTTTAACTCAAATACCCAACCACCTTTAGTGTAGAGAGGTGGAACTATAAAGTAAATGAGTGCTTTGACATTACAGCATGTAGTCTAAAATATGTTTGAGGAGAGGTTAGTGATATTATCTTACATGAAAGCGCATAAAGCCAATCATTCAGTACCCATAAAGATGTTTTTATGCAATTTTGCTTTTTTCAATGTCCATTGGTAAGTGCATAGGTTTTGCATTGGGTTTTGCATTGCAGTTTTGCGTTGCAGACATACTTGTCAATATGCTGTAGCATTTACGGTACATGAATTGCAATATGATTTATTTAAAACATATCTAACATTATTTATTTCAGGTAGCAGTTATGAGGAGGAAATAATATCAGCCACAACTGAAGAGCATGTTTTTGAGGGTGATGGTGTTACTCTGTCCTGCAACTACACTGGCACTTACAGTGGTAGCGGTACTTTACTGTTGTACCAACAATACCCCAGATCAACAACAGAATTCCTGATCCTCATCACTGAAGGAGGGTTTAAGACACATCTGACAACATATAGTATACTGTAGTAAGAAAGCCATAACAGAAAATATTTAACGTTGGTATCAATGAGGAGGTGCTGTATAATCAAAGATATACAAGTAGCTTATGGGATGTTATTGTTCAGGAAGAAGCTAGTCAGTGCTGTCTGTCTGTCTGTCTGTCTGTCTGTTTGTTTCTCAAAGGTCTAGCAAGATGTTGCTCTTCTCAGTTCTATTTTCAGCTTTTTTAGATGAGTTATTATATAGATAGAATTTCTTGCTTTGTTTTACAGCGAGGCCAGACAAAATTGATTCACTGTATAACAGATTTTCCCCTCAGAAAAGTGAGGTGAGCGTGCAAAAACAAACTAAAAACTAAAAAAACAAGTGGATAAGTAATAACAGTACTTTACCACATTGTCCTAGGCACTTGTGCAGTCTCTAGGCCTAATGTGAGCTTCAAGAATTATATTATTCCATGCGAAAACCTACACAATTTTTCTTAAAAAGAATGCAGATGTTACAATGTTGTTATAACCATGATAAATGAAACACAATGGGAAGTATAACTTATGACAGTTTCTTTATTCCTGATGAATAAAACATCTCTGATAAAAATCAAGAACAGATTCACAGGACACCATAACTAAAGTTGGCCGTGTGCAGTAGATCACCTTCTGGGTGTCAACAAACAATGGCGATTCAACATGTAGAATCGTCTGGAAATGAACATGACGAACAATGTTCTGTGGTCAGAGGCACAATCACCTGCTGCTTTTTTAATGTTCAACAGCACGGTCTGTTTTGTCCTTTATTTTTTATTTTTTTCTGGTCTCTAGGGTGTTCATTTATTTTTAAGATTTATTGGAGCTCTCGTAATGAACTGCTTTCCTTCTTGCTTACACACTACGCACATTGGCCTAACATGTTGGAATTGTTGTTTGATCCTCACCACCTCTTCCCCCTCAAGAACATTTGGACATCCACGATGGACACACATCTGGGAATGACACTCTGATTGCTGAGTAAAACTGCGTCACCACTTGCATCCCACAGGTTAGCCCCTTGAAAGCAACTATCTGCTCGTGATATGGATAGTCTTCTTGGAAAAGCTCTGAACCAGATGTAAAAATGTTCTCATTCCGAATGCATTGGACTGCTTTCTGTTCTTCTTTAGACAGCTTGCTTTTGGCATACAAGTACCTTGGTTTCTCACATTCAACGCAGTTGATGGTCGCTCACGCCTTTGCACTGACCATGGCAGCACTTTTCTTTACATTTTCTATATTTGGTGTCAGAGAAGGCCTATCCTTATCAGTGGCGTCCAAGCTGTACAGATCATCACATTTCTGGTACTCACGTCTGTCTGCTGTCAATGTTGGATCAGGCACAAACCTTAATTTCTTAAATTGTTCTTCTGGCAAGGGTGGAGGATTCATTAAGCAGTACCAGCATGGGATCTTCTCCCTCGCATTTCTTGATCTGTACCATGTATTGTGACATCTTGAAATGTCTGTCCTAGAATTGCTTGTTCAAACTGTGTTCCTTTCCACTTCAGGCATTCAGGCACTCAAACCGGCCACTTAGCTGCAACAGGATGCATACTCTTTTCAAAAGCCTCTTTCAGGTCTGGTTGTTTGGTGGCTGTTTCACGTAGGCTTGTCATTGTGCTACACTTTTTCACACGCTTCTCATTTGATTCTTCCATCTTCTCTCTAGCCAGGGCTGTTCTTTGAAGCCCCTTGTTCAGAAGGGAATTAACTCTCTCGGCAGGGTTGGCCCAGCTGTCACCTGGTGCTGTTCTACAGGCGATAAGCATGTCAAGATCCAGTTGAACAAACAGGAGTGTGTGGCATGCTTAAACAGAGGCATATGTGGTTCTGTGGTCTGGCCTACCATCAGATTGAATGATCAAGATTGACTTGTTGAGAAATACATCATCTTCACTGTAGTTCTCTCCTCTGAGGATGCTGAGATTTTCAACTGTGTGTTTAAGGGGGATGGATGGCTGGAAAACCTTGTCCTTGACAGTGACATGAGCTTTCCCATCATAGAATGAACTAGATGGAGATGCTGGGACGTCTGGGATAAAAATGACAGATGGTACAAGTACACTGATGCGGTAATCATGGTTGGCAGCTGCTAGAACTGGCCCACTCACAGGAGCAATGCTTGGATGTCTGCCTCTGTTACAGGTCCCTATAGGCTGGCCAGGTTCTCCGACAGGGATGATTGCCTTATCATCCACACTTAACATGTCACAGTCCTTCTGCCACATGCAGGCAAACTATTTAACCTTTACTGGATGGTTGTCCCGGAATCGTCACAGTTGCTCCTCAGTACGGAAAATGTGACTACAATGTTGATGTGAACAAAAGCACATTTTCACGGACATATACATGTCTTATATGGACAGAAATCTTAAAGTATTGTTAATCTAACTTGCAGTGTCCAATTTACAGTAGGTATTACAGCGAAAAAATACCATGCTATTGTTTGAAGATAGTGCACAACAACAAAACACTTTTATCAAGGCAACTGGTTTGATACATTCATCTCTGAAGGTAAATAATGCACTTACATTCAGTAATCTTGCTCTGATTTGTCATCCTGAGGATCCCAGAGATAAAAAGTAGCATTGTTTTGTTTGATAAAATCCATTTTTATATCCTAACACGGTCCATGTTGTATACAGCGTTTGCCTGAATTTTGAACTTGCAACAAAACATTTCAACGTAATATAAACGCTACACCTTGTTCCACCCAGTCAAGTTCAGTTTTTCTGCAATCCTCAGACACTCTAGAAGGCTACCGAACTTGTTTCATATTTCTGCATGACTCATTGGCTTAACAAAAGGTATATTAGCCCACCAAGGATTGACATGATTACGTATCAATGAGACGGGCGGTGTTCACTTGATTGACTGTATCTTGGTCCAATGACCACGTATCGTTTTGAAACAGATAGCCCAATGAGCTGGGCTTTACAGGAGTATGTGATGGTCCTTTGTGTGAGTAAAAGCCATTGTGCTGAGCACTCGCGTAACAACATACATTGGGCAGATATAATTGAGAGAACAAAGAGGGACTCATATTACGTATGCACACTCGATTACTTCTACCAAGTTTATTGCTATTTTAGAAAATAGAACATGGACAATAAAACAGGAAAAGCTCAATCGAAGACGAAGTATGCAGATTTGGACGAGATTATTGCAGAAATCGATAAGGAAAGTGACATGGAAATTGATGAGGACTCAGTGATTACACTGTAGATTCACGCTGATTTATTTTTTATGGGAAACATGTAACTTTAGACAGGTAAGTAAAATACTTTCTTTATTCTCATGCAGTTGTTTAAATGGTTGCATATTATTACTTTGAGATATTTTTATTTGATTGCTATATATATAATCCCTATAATGAAATATGTTTGCCAATAGTAAATAGGGCACTCGAAAACAACAGGCACAGCATGTGATAGTCAACATAAAATACACATTGGCTAGGGCTCACCCCCCTGCTAAAATAATTGATGCAGGGCTCACCCCCTGCTAAAATAAAGGTTCAATAAAAAAGTAATAGTAAACTTGAGTTCTTACTGATTTTTTAAAATGTTCAATAGTGCTACAGACTCAGTCAACAAAAAATACACAATGGCTATGCTAATACATTTTAGGTCTATATAAATACATTGTAGGTATGTGCCCTATTTACTATTGGTAAACATATTTCATTATAGTAATTGTGTTCCCCAAACTCTAATATATGTTTATAGATATGTGTTGTTTATTTGATGTATTGATACAGGGCTCATCCGTAAAAGTATTCTTACTGATTTTTTTTATTTATTCAGTCCGAATCCTGCTGCCGACTCTGGCTCCACACCTACCCCCGCCCGGGCATCTAGAGGTGTGAAGAGGCCAGCCCAGAAGATGATGTGAAGCCACTTCCACCAACATTTCGACCGAAAAGGCTGCCAGGACCTCAGCTGGACATCACTGGAAAGTACAGCCCCTGTCACGGATTCAGCCGAGGCTGCTCCTCCTCCTTGCTCGGGAAGGCTTCGGCGTTCATATTCCCGGAGTACTAGCTACTGCCGATCGATGTTTCGGTGTTTGTCTTGTTTGGTCTTTATTGTTTACACCTGTTTCCCATTATGTTGTATTGTATTCCCTATATTAACCCCTGTCTCTCATTGGTTATTGTGTGTGATTGTTCTTTGTCATTCCGGCAGTTGCTTTGGTGTTCGGGTGATTGTGTTTTCCTCCCTGTTTGGAGGTTTGTTGTTTTTGTACTTCTTTTGTGTTCAGTAAAAGTACGTTGCCAGCCGCTCTGTGTCCTGCGTTTGACTTCGCTGACCGCATACACGTCGCGTGACAGCCCCCTTCATCTTCACCCCTATATTCCTGCCACCAGCAGCACAATCTTGTGTAGAGGACTGAGGGTGTTCTAAATACTGTAATATATATATATATATATATATATATATATATATATATATATATATATATATATATATATACAGTGGGGAAAAAAGTATTTAGTCAGCCTTACAATTGTGCAAGTTCTCCCACTTAAAAAGATGAGAGAGGCCTGTAATTTTCATCATAGGTACACGGCAACTATGACAGACAAAATGAGAAAACTAAATCCAGAAAATCACATTGTAGGATTTTTAATGAATTTATTTGCAAATTATGGTGGAAAATAAGTATTTGGTCAATAACAAAAGTTTCTCAATACTTTGTTATTTACCCTTTTTTGGCAATGACACAGGTCAAACGTTTTCTGTAAGTCTTCACAAGGTTTTCACACACTGTTGCTGGTATTTTGGCCCATTCCTCCATGTAGATCTCCTCTAGAGCAGTGATGTTTTGGGGCTGTCGCTGGGCAACACGGACTTTCAACTCCCTCCAAAGATTTTCTATGGGGTTGAGATCTGGAGACTGGCTAGGCCACTCCAGGACCTTGAAATGCTTCTTACGAAGCCACTCCTTCGTTGCCCGGGCGGTGTGTTTGGGATCATTGTCATGCTGAAAGACCCA